TCGACACACGGCTTCTGAGGCGAAGCAGAAAGGCCGCTGCTTATTTTAGGGTCGGTCTGTGTGACTGGACAGTCCTCAGACAAAACTGCCTTTTGAACACCGCAAAAAGGAGAAGATTTTGTGAGTTCTGCAACCTTCCAGGGGAATGAGGCTACTGAGGGTGTCACACAGACATCACGTTTATGACCATCTATAGGTCTGTATATATCACCCGAGGCCAGCATATCTTCATTCGTCAGATGCAATTTTACATGACTGTTTGTTCTTGAATTAGGAAGCATTATATTGAAGAAAAATAACTTTAGTGAACTTCATCAGCTTTCAGTAATATTTAGGTACGCAGAAGGCGATGATCACGTTGGCCAAAGTGGTTGATCCAATAAAATAGTCCGAGAAGGAATAGGAGATTCACTGAGCAAATTTAATAGCGACAGACAGTTTGGTCGGTTCCCCACTGTCGAAACCTACGTCGTACAAAAACTATTCGAACACCACACGGCTTGCCGGCTGAATGCTCCCTGTGGCTATCGACTTTTCTGCTGTCTCAGTTGCCTCACATTTTTGTATTCAGCTGGTCGCGTTCGTAAGGGTTGTGATGACTAAATTGCAAGGTCTATTAACGCAGGAAAAGGACGAGAGGGACCGTATGGTTGCTCCTCCGTCGGTTGACCTAGTTGTCGGCTTGTATATGAACTTAGACCCTAACAACCTTCCTATCCTTGTTTTACCGCAGCTGGTAACGCCAAAGTCGGTAAAGGTGGATAAAGTTATTTTGCTGGTCGATCAGACTGGCGCTAAAAATTCACATCTCTGGCATGGGCCATTCGAAATTCGCACTGTCTGGCCAGAATGGGACTACGAGGAACTCAGAAGTGCCGGCAATCTCCTCACCACGCTGGGCATATCGGGGCTTGAGATGCAGTCTACGTGATGTGAGCTGATATTCCTATAGGAGAGTCTACACGCTTCATTCGGTTTTCCTAACCTGTGGTAGCGGCAACATTAATCGAAATAGACTTGAAGAAGGAGACGCGATCGCTGGGACAAGAGCTTTATTAGCCTGACGTTTCGGGTTCCTGCTTGAACCCATCATCAGAGAAAAAAGCAGATATGGGGGGTTCATGCACAAGGGGCTGCAGTATTTATAGGATGTAGTCGCCATGCTACCGCATACCTATGAGCATTCACGACCCCCCTTCATCGGGGATTGTCGCACTTGGTGTGCTAACTGTGTGACGGCCGACATTCACCTCGTTAATTGGATGTTGGTGTGATGGTTGCTCGACCATCTGACCTACCGACTCTGGATACAGAGACAGTTGCCGATGCCTCAGTCGGCAATAGCGAATCATTTGGCTACATTCCGCAGTGACGAAGTGCTGACTGGTGTCTATGAGTCGTGTTTACACCGATAAGGCCTCTGCGGTCAGAGTGCTGTCTATGGAAGATCCCTGTATGTAGGAAAGTGCCCTCCAGGTTTCTTCAAATAAGACTTCATATTATTCAAGGAATCAGCTTTTCCTTGTGAGGCATACTAGAAGCTAGGATGACCTAAATTGGAAGAGGGATTCATGTGATCGAACATATGCAGTCTAGTCTTTGGAGCCCCTCCAAATAAGTTTTCTTTTTGATACACACTCGCCTTGGATATCAGGAACTTCTTTTTTCTCTTTATTTATGTCATTTAAGAATAACGTTTGACATGAATTCAGTGGTATATTCAAATAATTAGAGCTTTCGAGCTAGAAGACATGTCTCTTTTTTCATCATAACCGTCATCCAAAGAACTAAGGGAACTGCCACTTAAATATAATCAATTTTTTGAAACACAGTTCTCGACCGAATAAAATTGTGCTATTGACTGACACACATATAAACCGAAACATCAAGAGAAGTATGCGACTGTACAATTTTTTACTTAGGCATCTGTTAGCAGCAGAGCCCGCATACTGTTTTCAGAAAGGGATTTGTCCTGGCGAGCGTGGATTGGCTTATATAACATCGTTTAGGTCTATTCTCTAATAAAATCTCCGTCAGACTTCATAAATTACGAACCATATGACGTATCGAGAAACTCCATGTCCCATACCGGACTACATAGAAACTTCGTATTTCCTATTCTTTAGGTGTAAGAAAAGTTCGGTACCTCGCTTTGTTTGAGGCAAATCGCTGTCAAGAATAAGGATCACTTTGAGCGCCCAAGGCGAGAATGAAGAACACAACTCCTAGAATTCCAACCCTTACATAGGCCACCTCGTCATTATTCGTACACTACCTTTCACGCATCTTGTGAACACGAGTTGAACCTTTTGAAACGACGCCCACTGACGTCAGCTGTTAGGCAAATAAATTACCGACGCTGAAGAGTAGGGGCCTGAAGAAATAAGGACAGGGAAATATGCTTCCAGCTTATAACCTGCTATAATGCGAAAGATTACAAAACAAAATCAGCAAAGTACCAGATTGACACTTGTCTTTACTACAGCTTCGAAAAGGGTTCCCTGAAATTGTTGTGCAAGCGCTTTATTCGGGTAAGAAATGGACCAAATTATAAAGATTCAGTTAAAAATTCAACATTTATATGAAAGCAATGAAGAATGAGCAACTAAGTTTGCGGTGATTGGATCCACTGTAACTCTCTTTTTTGTTCTACCATTCTAGGCCTCATTTGCGCAGGCATACGTGCACATTTGCACATAGTCTATGTCAACGACTAGCCACAAACGACGAAATATTACTTCCGATCACCTGAGAATCTAGATAAGTTCTGACTGATTATACATGGAAGCAATGTGCGACATGTGCGATATAGGAGCAAATTGTGTCATTGTTCAAAATACCCGGTCCCATATAAGAGCCAGTTGACTCAATCTTCCTACCAAAAACACACCACCGAAATATGCCCTCTTCTGACATTTAGTCAATCCTGTGCCTCTAAATGTGCAAATCTATTGGGAAAACGGTCTCCCATGTTAGGGATGAAACTCATTCAAGAAATAAATTCTGACCCACTGAAAATTACATTGCGAAAGACAGACCCCAATTCGGTTGACTTCAATGCTACTTGTGTCCACGCCTTATTGCCACCACTCTACCAGTCCTCCCGGCACACTTTCTAGCAGCTGGTTAGAAACTCCAGTGGTTATTTGGCTTCGGGTATCAATCAAAACCTATTGGCCTTTCAGACAAGAGAGGAACTCTCATTGCCTAATATTCTGTTCTTAGCATCCATATGCGATTTCATTCAAATTTCAGTTCCTTGATAGTACCTGTCAAGGAGGGGTTGGTGTCCGGTTGACTAGATTAAAGGTTTTAAATCTATCGTTAAACCGGCGGCCACATTGTTATCCTTTAGCACAGAATCCTCCCGTGATTTGATAGTTGGTGATGAGTGTACACTCAGCATCCCACACTATTCTTTGACACTAGAGTTTCACATTAGGGCCAAGGAAGTCCGTTTTGACATTTGTACATACTGTCTAGTACATGTGCAGCGATCCGCCATCACCCTGTTAAATAGACTCGGGAAATTTTATTTTGGACCGTTCGTCGGTTGTTCTACAAGCTTTGGTCGGCTTATCTCGCTGTCACAAACTGAGTCGGGATTAGTCGACTCAGATTACTCAACGACGGTCTATGGTGTGCCACCGACGTCGCTTTGATCACTCAAGTCCTGATTTTCTATGGGAACACGACTTGTGGGTACACGCCTCACGCTTGTTCTTCTTTGGTGGAACATATTCAGATGTCGAGTATGTGTGCATAAGAGATGATGAAAACTAATAAAATTTGTGTACTGTTAGAAAGGACCTAAAAGAAATGGCTGCTTTACTCCTCTCTAAGATCCTATCCTTGACATTGGATACCTTTTTTGTTCACTGTCCCACAAGCACCTTCACAGCCACCAGTAATTATTCACAAGGACCAGTCCATCTCAAAATTCTGTCGACTTGTGTCTTCTCGACAATCGAATATTTGAACAGACCAGTCTCCCACATTAGGGAAGTCTGCCAAGTACGCTTGTCTCTCTGGAACCGCCCATGGTTTATCTACGACAGTCAGTACGGTCTGTGGATAACAAACCGTTTGCAACTGGGAGTTGAGTCATCTCTACTTCAACACGAAGACGGGTGCGATGAATTCTGTCGGTCTTTTCCGAAAAACTTTTTTATTGGTAGTGGAGAAAGAAACATGAATTAATCTGAGTCGCTAAGGTCCAAATAAGGGAAACTATTACCACATCAAACCTGTGTTGGTGCTGGTACCATAAAAACCGTCCAACTGGGCAACGCCTTTCAAGTGAGCTTGTTCGTCAGGCTAAATTATCCGATCAAGTGATATATGAACGACATATCTCCTGAAAAAAAAAGTACCCAGTTGTCTTAATAGGCGTCAATTAACAATCAAAAAGAAAGGTGTTATAGGAATTTACACAGTTCAGGCAAGCTTTAAGTGAAATTTGTACATGACTGCTTAAGGTGCAGAGAAGTACGCGCTCAAGGGGTAACAATATAGGAGACTGAGATGAAGCTGCGTTTAATTCAGCGCGGAAGGCGAAATGTTAACTGAAGCAGGCACAAAAGTGGTCCCGACAAAGACTGTTTAAGTAAAAAAATAAAAAAGTCTTTTTGCTGTCTTCAACTGTGCCTACGTACGACATAAGAATGCGTATATGCAATAAAGTTGGCTTAAGAGCTAGCAAAATTGTGAAAAGAATGTCCAATGAACACATGAAACAGTGTTCATGCTGACTAAGGTTAACTTTGGGTAGGCCAGAGCGGACTTGCAGAAGCCAGCGCACGCCAACACCGTTCATGATTAAAAGACTAACTGAAGTAATCCAGTCCGGCAGAAATTAAAAACACGATAAGGGCTGGAACATCGCGCTTGCGAGGTTCCACCCCTCGACTTTTGTCTTGATTTGACCGTTCAGTCAAATGCAGTCAGTAGGCAGCCGGGAATACGGTAGTTGCAGTTTCCAAGTAGCAATTGTAGCAAGACTAGGTAAGAACAAATGAAGCAGGGCCGGCACTGCATGTGCACGCTGATCGGGGCATCGAAATCATGCGGAAGGTTCCGCGGCAGTCCTGGGTGCGAAGAGCCCTCCACTTGCTGACTAATCCCGGGTACCCTGTTCCTGGGCACCTATTGTCTAGGCCTTTGCGCATGTACTGCGGATAGCAGGTAGCGCAGATCTCCTGTCCTGGGCGCAGGAGGTCTGCAGCCTGAAGCCAAGGATGCACCAGTCCCCGCGTTGGTTGATTTTGCCTGCCGGCCTCGAAAGTCGTCGCCATCCGCCTGTTTGATCGCCAGTCTCTGGACCACAGCGACCTTCTTCTACGACGATCCGTCCAGGTATCGTCCTCTTGTGCGAAACTCCAGGTCGGATTCCTCGCTTGGCAAGAGGGGTTGGCGTTAACGATCCTGTACATGACGCAGTACCTTAATTGCAGAAGAAGACAAAAACGTCTCATGAAGAGGGGAAATGTAAATAAGAGTTTAAAATGACTATTATTTCTTCGACTTCCCGATAATTCTAAGGTAGGCTCTAGCCAATAGTAGATCGGTTTTTTTATTCTAAGCCGAACTCATTATCAGAGGCTGTTCCTGATGATCAGTTCGAGTGGGAATCCTGAACGTCCGATGAATACAACCCTTGCTCCAAAAATCGGAGCCCTTTCCTCATAGTGTAATAATGTTCTGTGTGGAGTCGACAGCTGAAAGGCCTGCGGCAGACTGCAAGCACTAACTGCCCTCGGCAAACCCCGCAATCCGAGGTCAGAACTGATATATAAATGTGCCCGTTAATAGGTCAGTGAGCAATAGCTAAAGTAATGTGACGAGTAATTGTGTTTTAAGATGTGTTGGCAGTGTATGAACATAGTCGGCCCTGTTCAGATGGTTTTTTTGCAAAGTTCTGATGCTTGAATGATTAAGGAGGGCATGTATGACTCGCCTTGACCTATTAAATGCACAAATTCCATAAACAATGTTGCTGTTTGACGGAGCTGTGGGCAGACCCATTAAAAGCGCACTTTAGTAATTTGTAAGTATTCTGTATTTTTTCGAGCAACCCCATATACCTTATTTTGTTTTAGAGCTGTTTCCGTAGGGGATAACCACAGTCATAAAATACATTCATTTATTTTACATCGTCGGCTACATTGCATCCGAAGCAGTTTCATATTTACGCACGCAATTGTTCTTTTTCTTTTATAACTGAACATGCAGCAAAATTCCCCTGAATTTTTGCATCGAAATGTCTTTTGGACTGGTTCCTTACTAGGTAAATTTGGAAAACACTTGAAAGAAGTCATCTCAGCAAACCAAGTTAGAAGCACTAAGCAGGCCCCTCATTGAACGCTTTCATCCATTCCCTACTGAAGAAGATTTCGGCTTTTTCTAGTCTAGTTATTTTAAAGTAAACACAGAGGGCATCTTTAAAAAATAACAGAACATTTAAGGGTGTGAAGCCAGCTAACGCTCAATTTCAGAAAGGACAGCCGGTGAGTGTACTTACGGTTCAGGATCAGGAACTTCCGTCCGATTCTGTTGAATAAGTTGCACCAAGTACAATTTCCTACGAATGTCCCATCTCATATCGAAGAGCTTCAGCTTGTTTTGAATGTCGCCTTGAACTGGAAGGAGATTTGCAACCTCTGCAAATGAAAGAGATATTGGTTTTTTTTATTAAGATTGAGTTCGGGAGAATCACATAGTGTCTGGGCATTATAAGCAAGCTAAAAGGTCTCGCGTTCAAAAACGAGGCTGAGAGTCTAATGTTAGCTTTCGACGGCAAATAATAACGGGTTATTTCAACTTTTCATGCTCCCAAACATCAGACAGGCATCCTATATGGACAGCCTTTAAAGATATTATGAAAGCAGTGTGTCTGTTTATCTATAGAGTTACTCGTGTCCTTTTTATAACGCTTAGGAATTGACGTACGGCTTGTTTGTGAGTTTCGAATACACCACCTAATGCTTTATACGAAAACACAGTGTCTGCAAGTGCAAAAGATAAACAACTTGTACTGGGGGCAGATATGCATTGCACAGCTACATGGTCGCTCAAACAGGAAATCGACTTTTATTGTACGAAAGGAACATAGTAGTTTGCTTACCTGTAGAGGCATCTAGCCGACGCATGCGCGACCCTGAACGAACAAACCGACAGATGCTTCCGTCTTCGCCATCGCACTTTCTGGTCTCTTCTAGAAACGGGCATCGGCCACCGCCATTCCTTGGCATTTCAATTATGAATCGTGATCGCCTTTGTTTGCCTGGGCCGCAGGCGTTGCTGCAGGGGCTCCACTTTGTCCAGGCGGAAACTCTGCAGTCAATTTCTGCAGCAGAAGTGTAAGGAATTACTGTGTAAAGACCCTCGTTCATTCCTGAGGTCTCCAACAATACAGAACATTTGGCAAGTGTAATAAATGTGTGCTGCGAAGCATGTCGTCAGCGTAGAATCAGATACTCATTCAAGGCAGATAATGAAGCTAACGCTTCCAGTGTGCCCTTTTTGCAAAGCAAAGGCATTTCTGATTCAAAATGATGTCTACCAGCCCCAAACAGAAGGCTTTATTTAGAACTCTAAAAATTGGAATTACGAAAATCCCAAAAGACTAGGCACCTATAAAAATCTTTTAGGGAACAAATTTGAGGCATGTCTTTCTTCCGTCACCAGAACTGGACAAGACCAGTACAAATTGCGAAAACCTACCTGAGTATTTATCCATAGAAAACATTAAATGAATTTTCGTTCTATGTCATTTTTGATCTGCATTTCATTCCATTTTTTATTTAAGATTTTACCTAAGACGTTTTTCACGGTCATGAACAAATTGTACAACATTCAGAGTTGTTAGAAGGAATTTTTTATGTATACAATAAAATAAACAGAATGTGACTGTTTAAAAATTCTACTTTGGTCTTAACCGATACTGTAAAAATAAATGACTTGATGTAAGCCGTAATTTAACAATGAGAACAGTTCTAACGGCAGACTCCAAAGACTAGAGATTTCACGCAGCCAAAAATAATGACTTTCGGCTAAAGCAAAACTACCTTCCAATTCCACGCCTTAGTGCTGTGCATTTTGGCTCGGCTCAGCGGCATCCCAGATATATGAAAGCGGTTGGTGTTTTAATGGCTCTTACTCGAAAAGTAAGAGTTCTTAGTTTGGACAACGTCTTAGCCAGGATTACAGAGAGAGCATCACAGAGGCTGAAGACGGCAACAAGGCTTAATTTAGCGCAGAATTTTACCCTGGCTCCTCCAGCAAAGAAATTTTTACTTCCAGACGATGCTGAATAGATGGGTTAAACGGTCGGATTGTATATAACAGTGCATGCATCAGTTTTTTAGTCAATTTATAAGCTAGTTTAGCTTCTGTCTGCAGATGGTGAACAACTCTCTATCCTTTTCTGTAAGGACGCCTCTTAATGAAAGAAAGATAACAGTAGAATGGTAAACTTTGGGAAAACAACAGTGACAATTCACTGAATTTCTAGATTCAAATTAAGCAGTGCTGGATAATCGTCGCTTTTGAACTACTAATCCCTCCAGTTTCGGATTCTCTAGCAAACCGTAAGCAATAACATCACAGCGTGTTGGGTGAAGGACTGGCATTTTATAAAGTGAGTATGCAATTTAATTAAATTCTTCTTGAGAATAAGACGTAAAATTAAGTTTATAGTATTTTTTGCTAAAAGTGACCAGATAGTTAACAACTGTTTATATATAGTACACCTCTCCTAGCCGTTGAAACCCGACATGACACATGGTCGCGCATTGTCTCAGAGTTTTCTTTAAAGTCAATTCTATGTTTATTGCCTCAAACGGGGCAGCTTACTTTCGCGTAATTGATTCAGAAAGCCATCAGAACTTATGTGCTACAGAGGATATATAATTGGAATATTAAACCTGCACATTAAAAGCTGACTTACTTGGTTTATTGCAGACCTGCCGGTAGTCCGGGCAACAGTCCTCCGTAAGAAGGCAATGTTCATCGCAATGACAAGGCCGCGTGTTACCATCGGGGCTTCTTAGTGAATCGACGTTGGAAGGATAACGTGATGCATACAGTGATTTCTGCCCCAAGCAGTCTACTTTCCGACCAACGCAGCACTTTGCGCTGCCGTCAGAATTCAGGCACGACCCTCTCGATTCATCTGCATGTCCTGGTTTGCTAAAGAACACACACAGCAGACAGAGTAATTTCACAGGTTGGATCATTCTGTTCTGCATTTAGGCCAGTGTCTTATTATGCATACAGTTCACCAACTAGGGTTCAGATCTAGTCTGGGAGATAGGTTTTAGTGAAACTGCTAAAGCCACCAACTTATATAGGTTATCTAATTTCTGATTGGCCAGAAGCCCAGGCAGGCCACCTTTGGTGCGGAATGGCCAGGACATCGTGCTTCCTAGCAAATCAAGGCCCGGTTTGTGCATATATGAAGAGATCAGAGAGGTAATTCGATAGAAATTTTGGCCTAGGAAAATCAGAGGTCTATCATACGATGGCTAGATTAGGCCCCAAAAGCGTAATTATTGGCAGAAAGAGTGAAAGCAAGGGTGATCTGTTATATACTATATTGCATGCGTTCAACAGCTCGGTTATAACTAGATAAATTTATGGGGTTCCTACAAAACAAGTTATTTCTTCTGTCCTCATGGGCTGATAATTCGGCGCTCGCAATCCACCATGGTATATTTTCTACAAAAACTCATGAGCACGCCAAAAATGTTTTTGCTATATTTGGCTTCCTATTTTCAGATAGTTTTTCATGATAGATTATTTTGACTAGTATTCATTGATGCCACAAACCTCTCCAAAATAAAATGGTTACAGATAGAAATCAGTCAGAAATGATAGACTTTCTTAAAAATTATACAAGAGGTCAAAGGCATAATAATGGTGTAACAATCTGCTATCAGTTCCTTGGCTTTTTTCAACGGCTTTGGTTGAAATGACTCTTAAAATGTTCATACAAGTTTTGTTGTGCATTGGCGCAGTTTCCTCTCCTCTTAGACATATGGTACGTATCCATTCTACTCTTTGAAATTGGAAAAATTTTTTCTGCAAATGATTTTAAATATCCGCAAAAGAGATAAACATGAATGAGAGAACGTAAAATTATGAAATAATAAGGTTTTGCCATGCCAGACTTTTCGACATACTCTCACAATTGTGAAAACCAAAAACGGATATGGCAATGACGTATTTTTGATTGCTTGTGCTTCGAGGTTTTCGGACAGCTTTTGATTGATCGATGACCCAAAATACTATTTTTGGCGTCATTTGCGTTCCAAGTTACCTACCTTATTCTCTAGCATATTTAAAGATTTAAGTCAATATTTGTGCTATTTAATAACTATCGTAAGTTGTCCACTGTAAAAGTGCTTTTCTACCTACCTACTGATGATCTCACCAAAAGACACGACTGATAGAATACAATTTTACTTTGCCGTCGGTTTTGCACCGTCGCAGTGAATGCTGATTTCAAAAACGGGCTCCGCTGGAGTAGAAAAAAAGAAAACGTCTCCAGGGGCCAAGTCACAATTTTAAAGGGCCTTTTTCTATAAAAAGTCAAATGGCAGTTATTTCAGTGAGTCATTTTCATAAAAGAGTTTTTATCAGCGAAGCCTGAATTTACGGGTTAGACCATCCCAAAGCCAATCGAAATAGCCCGACTATTTGAAAATTTAGCTCAGCGAGATAAGATAGCCCTGCTCTATATACTGTGACAGTGTTCAAGTCGTACTGAAGTGAAGAGGACCGGATAAGCGGCCTCGTGTTTTTTGAAACCCCGAGGGAAGGTATTGATGCAGGACGTTTTCCCGCCAAGTAGAAAATGAGGCAATTTTAAGTAACAGTCCTCGGCGTAAGGCAGGCACGCATCTAACGGATTCGCTTGCTGAATGGAACATAATTGTTCGACTCTGCTTTGGATCTTTACTCCGCTATCTGTCTCATAGTAGCAAACGATAAAGTGGGTGATACACAGGCAAAAAACAAGAGAGAAGACGATGAATACTGCTAGGTAATTAGATATCGTCAACAAGCGGATGCAATTTCCGACTTAAATGACTCCGCTAACGACTCTCGTCTATGGTTTCCCCGTTCTGTGTTTGGCGTAGAAGGATGTGAATGAAGGTTTGTGCCCCTAGAGTGGACTACGTACTAAATGCCCTGGGCCAGCGCAGGGGGCTAGACCAGAGTACGGCAGGCGTTATCGGCAATGCGCACCCATAACGAATGCCAACATTTGGTGTGTGTGTGTGTGTGTGTGTGTGTGTGTGTGTGTGTGTGTGGAGAGACAGAACCATGTGCGGGTTGATGTCGGGCCAACTGGGATCAATGCCGGCCTCCCAATTTTGTTGTGTATAAAATCCTGTTCAGTTCGCCTTCAGGACCGGGGTGTGTGGGGGCGGTGCCGTCCGCGCCAGAAACCTGCGTCCTCTCTCGCCCAGGTCCTCTCATCTCGGTCATGACGCCGGGTTGAGGTGGAGAAGGAGAGAGTGCGGTAGATGCAGCACATGTCTACTATCAATACAGACTAATTCATGCGCAAATCACCATCCCTGCTCTCACCCTACTGTGGAACACACAATGGGCATCGTCTAAATCGACGGTCGAATTATCCGATAACGGTTTATAAACCCTAAATGACCATTTCAGTGAGGAGTAATGTTCGCAGTACTTTTCCTGCCAAACGGTCCACTTAAGTTGCAAAATGAAATCATTCATGCTGGATGCAATCATTATTGCACCAAAAACTCTTTGGAGTTTAAGGCAGCTTAGACAATAATCGCGTCAACTAATCCTTGTGAGATCCCAATATTTTCCAACAAAAGGTGGCGACATCAAGCTGCCTTCGCGTGTTTCGGATCGTTAAACATTTAGTACATGGAACGCGTCTGTTAGAATTACGTTGCTGGATGCGATCTTCAAAACCGTAACTCTTGTCTACCTAAATTATCTCATATGAATATTGTGCGTCCAGAATTTCCAAAAATGGTGTATTTTGGCTACGCCC